TTTCTATTTTTACTTGAATTAATATTATACATACAAATTAAGAAAAGGAAGAGACAATTTAATGTCACATGAATAATACAACCTTCCTCAAACGAAACGAAACAGTTGAAATGAGATAAACATTCATTTTTTAACGAATATTATTTCAGACGTTTTCATCATATACTAAAACTCTCTTTTTCGTTCCTAACTAGATCTACTGTATCCTGCATAAATTATGTGTTATAAGAAACTGAAGAAAAGTAACTATAAAGTCTTTTTACCTGAAGGTTGTCATGATTAATGTGGGTTACAATCATACCGTGCCTTTTGTATATAGTCAGTTGGTTCACTTTTAATTTTTGGTTCTTGAGTTTGTTGAACAGTTTTATATTGTGTAGTATTTGAAACTTGTTCAGCAAGATTATCCTGCCTAGAATTTGGAGTTTGTTTGAGACGATCATAGTGCATAAAATGATTGTTTCGGCCTGTTACTCTCGATGATATAGATAAATTCAAAATAATTTTTTCTTTCATCACTGTGGCAGCTGTACGTTGACACCTTATAATCCATGAAGTCTATATATTTATCGTCCATAATAAAATTATTATGCAGCATATGACGTGTAGCGATAGAAAGCTACTAATGCTTGATACGAATAGCTTGGTGTCTTCTTGTTCTACGAAATCAATGACTCAATAGCATACCATTAATATACGCGTGAGTATTTCATAATTTTTTTTAGGCAGAGACAAAAGGTATTTGTATGCATATTTTAAATACCAAAGTTTGATTAACAAATGATAAAAAACACATTTCATTGAAATAAACATATTTATGAACGTTGTTAATACCTCTATGTATTTTGATTCTTTTATTAAATTTTTTACAATAAATCTTTTGGTTTTAATTTTTGTTTCGATAAAATAAAAGAATATATATTATGAAATCCTCATATCAAAATAATACGAAAAAATGACCGTTTTAATATATATTCATTGGCAAACAAGCTGTTTTAATTATATTCTATCAATTTATATACATATCTTAGAGATATTATATATTAAAAATAGTTGGCTTAGTATTAACAGAATCTGAAAGTGCTTTCGTTGTGTTATGATTTTCAAACTTCTTATTATTTATAAATAGAATAAGACTTGCATTTTTATTTAATTAAATGAACGCAAATCAAAGAATTGTTGTAGTTTGAAAGTGTTCAATCTCGAAGTAAAACTTCACTTTTGGTATTTCTGATACTTTGAGTAGTAAACTGTGTGTTTCGATAGTTTCAAAAATGTAGTTGAGAACGGCAAGGCATAGAAATAATCAAATCTAAAAGTCTATTTCATTTTAACTAAACATAATTACAATATCGAAACAAAATGTTCAGTTCTTGATCTTGATATAAATGTCTAATTCTAGTTTTTAATATCGTTAAATTCATAAAAGAGAGTGTTAAATCAATCCTTAACATGAGTAGAAGCAAGAGGAATAAATCATGTTTCTCTATTGACCTTTATTATTATTATATAAAAAATAAAGAGAATGAAAAAAAAATTGTTTTTTTACTACAGATGATAACTATAGATAATATAAATCATTCTTTGTTCATTTCAGAATATTTTCATTTATGATAAGTTTGACCGTTATTTAAAAGTGTCTAAAATCATAAATTCATGTGTTTTTTTTGAAAAACAATAAGTATTTAAATTATATTTACAGCCATGCTGTTCCTTCTTTTAAAACTTTCATTGGACATGATAATTGATTTGTAGTATATTTTTCACATGTATCGTCGATTTTACTTTGAGGATCGTGTTCTTCACGTAAACGCCAAAATGCATCAGCAAATGTAATAAAATCAATTGTTTGAAGTCGTTTACCATGAAATGTTCTCGAATAATTTGTTGAAATTTCTGAATATTCATTACGATAAAATCGTTTTAAATGATGTGCATAAACAATCAAAGCTGTACCAGTATAAAATTGATCAGCAAAAAGTGTAATTAAATCTTTATGAATATGATTATCTTCGAACCATTTTCGAATATCTTTTGATGTCCAAGATTTTAATGAAGTGTCAATTTTTGATGTTTTTGCTACGATTGGTTTTTGTGATGATGTTGATGCTGGTATCGCAATCGATTTTTGATCAACAGTAACCAATGAAAGAAGTTCATTGAAAGCATCGGTAAAATGTTTTCGACCAAAATGTACATATTTTTGACCAGCAATTCGTATTCCGAGCCAACCACTTGCTTTAAATTGTTGATCTGGAGCATAAATAGGTACAATACGTTTTTTTAATGTATCAGTAGCATAAGAAAGTTCTTGTCGACATGATTTTGAATCATAATATTCTTTTGATACAATTAAAATAATGATACTTGCCATTTCCATAGCACCAGCTATTTCTTCCCATAAATCATCTGAATGAGCATTATTTTGAGTTACTTGTTTATAATCAATCCAAACAGTTATATATTGAGATAAATGTTCCACAACTTCTTTACAAAATATTGAATCACTATGAGAATAACTAATCATAATCATTGGTTTTTCTTCGGATATATGTTTTTGTTGAGTTATATATAAGGATTTTAAATTCCAAAGAATACCTTCTGTTGCTTTTTTTAATGAACATATATCTCGTGGACATGATCTATTATGTGTATTGGTATATAATAATGATGATGTAGCTAAATTTGATATTGTATTCATAAGAGCTTTGTTTGATCGAAATTTTTCATGATAAGATTCATGAAATGATATACTCCATAAAAGATTAGCTAATGATACTAATGCTTCATCATTAAGTGCCTGTTGACATCTTGTTATATCATTATTAGTCATCGTAAATTGAATAAGTAATTGAGTTAGACAATCAAATAATTGACTACTTTCATTTAAACATTTATTTACAATATCATC